GTTTTTTTATTTGATGTATTATTATAGATTCAACATGACTGATAAAATTGGTGATGCATCAAGTGCCTCTGAAATTATTCTATTCTTGTTTTGAAATTAAAACAATTTCTAAACTAAAAACATACAAATAATTTTCGTAAAATGAAAAAAAATAAACTTTAACTGAAATAAAACAACTGATTTTACTTCAGCTAGTTGCCAAGACAGCATTTTTTCTTTTTTATTTAGTTTAACTTGATGTACTAAATAACTAAAACTGAAATAAAAACTATATCGATACTTTTTTTTTAAAACAACAAAATTGCTAAAACTAACTAAAAGTACAAAAATAAAAAATAATTCAAAATAGAAATAAAACTGATATTATCTCAGAAATACAAAAAAAAACACTGCATTAGAGGCTAACTTTCAACATCATTTTTGATGCATAAATTCTAATGCATCAGTGGTGTGATTATTTCTCTTATTTGAGTCTCCTCACAGACTAACGTGTGTGTGTGTGTGTGTGTGTGTGTGTGTGTGTGTGTCTGTCAGTGGCGCTGTTGACAGACTGTCTGAGGAATAAAACTCTGGCCAAGTTCTTCAGGGATCGGCAGGCGTCGCTCAAGCGCTCTCTTCCGTTGGGTTCTTACCTGCTCAAACCAGTTCAGAGGATCCTCAAATATCACCTGCTGCTTCAGGTGCGACCACTGAACATCTGACAAAACCACTCAGAAATACTTAGAAATGTATGAAAGCTAATGTGTGAGAGAGAGCAAAAATGATCTTTTATAATACATTATAATGACTTCTGTAATGTAAACATTCAGCGGGAAATGATGTTGGATGGGACTTTTTTTTTGTTCATGATTATTAGTTAATATAATTTTCCTGCCTACATAGTCCTGTGTACCAGGGGTGTTATAGTTCAATGAAACCATAAAACCAATCAATTTATCAATAAATAGTCGCACATACATACATACACACACATTTTGTTACTGACTGAAATGCAATAAAATATAAAACGACATAATTTTATTTCACCTGTTTTCCAAAGCAGCATTTTCCATTTTTATTTAGTTTAACTTAATGTACTAAAATAATTGACTCAAAACATAAAACTGTATTGACAATAATCTAAAAAAAATCGAATAAAAATGAGAAATGCGCGACAAAGTTACCAGAATTTTAATTGCATTTAAATTGGAAATGAAAAATATAAAAATGAGAAAAATTCAAAAGCATCTCAGTGGCACTAAAGTAACACTGCTGGAGATTTTAAGTTAATATTTCAACAACTTAACACCACATTCACATGTTTAATTAGTCTCTGATCACATGACATGCAGCTAAACACATAACGTTTCATTTTATTAGTGTGTATTTTATTTGTAATTATTTCTCTATTTTAATTTGAAATTTTTACGATTTAATTAATTATTAGCTTTTTATCAACCCAAAAACCCCAGTTTGGGAAATTCTGCTCTATAGCAACACAGTGATGAATTGTGCAAAATAGATTTTGATTGCACGATCAAATCAGTTTACGTAGTTCTAAAATCTTGGTTATTCCTCATATCATCATCTTCAGATGGAGATGAACAGCAGGGTTTTTTCTAAATATCGTGCAGTGTGTTGCTCTGGTGTTGACAGACAGAGTCAGTGACTGTGGTTTTGCTTTTCTGAAGGAAATCGCTAAGCACTTCGACCCTGAGGAGGACGGGTACGATGTGGTGATCGAGGCCATAGACAGCATGACCGGAGTCGCCTGGTACATCAACGACATGAAGAGAAAACACGAGCACGCCGTGAGACTTCAGGTCTGGAGCCACTGTCTGTATTACCATCAGAACACTGCAGGACCAGATATCAGAACGCAGGCAATTCATCAAACAGGGTTATTAGAGTTAACTACAATTATTTTATTTTTTTAAATGTACTCAAAATTAATGAATTAAATATATATTTTTTAAACTATATAAACGTTTTTTTTTTTTTTTTACAACCAAACTATGTTACAGACTTTTCATTAAGACCCTAAAGAATCATATCAACTTGTGGAAAATGGGCGTCGGATGACCCCTTTAATACAAATGGCTAAAACACAACAAATTTGACTAAAATTAAAACGAAAATGAAAAAATATTAAAATTAAAAACAAATTCAAAATGTTAATAAAAACTATAATAATATCTCAATTACTGTAAGGCAAGCTTATTTATATAGCACATTTCGTACACAATGGTAATTCAAAGTGCTTTATATAAAAGAAAGTAAAATAATAATTTAAAAAAAAATCTAATATTGTAATATCTCAATTATTGTAATAATATCGCAAAAAACTTTTTCTTGTAGTTGCCAAGTCAACATTTCTCATTTTTATTTAGTTAAATGTGATTTACTAAAATAACTAAAAGTAAAACAGAAACAAAAATGAATAAAAACTATGTAGGCATAAAAAAACTTAAAAATAGCAAAAAACTTTTTTAACTAAAACTTTGACTAAAATTAAAATGAAATCTGAAAAATATCAACTAACTCAAATATATTATTAAAAACTATAATAGTATCTCAGTGATACTAAAATAACACTATGAAATGAACAAATGTTTTATTTCTTCTCCTCTCACAGTGGTATGTTAATGGCTGATGTTGTTTATCATGCACTCATAACACATTAATGGATGGAATATGACTGTATCCAGTTTCTGATGTTAATGAGCGTCATGCAAATACATTATCATACTCTTTGATTAATTCTAATCTGAAGTCCTGACTCATGAGCTGGAGGATCTGTTCATTAATGGATCTGGGGCAGCACATGCTGTACGCATGCTTAACGATCACTGATTCATGATTCAATTACTGCACACGATCAGCCAACAACTGACACCAACCTCTTCTATTCTATTCTATTCTGTCCTATCCTATATTTATTCTATCCTAACCTATTTTTATTCTATCCTATGCTTTTCTATTCTATTCTATCCCGTTCTGTTTTATTCTATTCTATCCAATTCTATTCTGTTCTGTTCTATTCTATGCTATTTTATTCTATTCTATTCTATCTTGTTCTGTTCTATTCTAACATATCTATGCTATGCTATTCTATCCTGTTCTGTTCTTTTTTTATTATTTTCTATTCTATCCTATTTTACTCTGTCCTGTTCTGTTCTATCCTGCTCTATTCTATCCCATTCTATTCTGTCCTATTTTATTCTATTCTATCCTATCCTATTCTACGCTATTCTATTTGATTCTATTCTATCATATCCTGTTCTGTTCTATTCTATTCTGACATACCTATGCTAATCTATTCTATCCTCTTCTATTCTGTTTTATGATATTCTATTCTATTCTTACCTGTTCCATTCTGATTTATTTTATGCTATTCTATCCAATCCTATCCTATGCCATTCTACCCTGTTCCATTCTGTTTTGTTCTATTCTATCCTATTCTGTTCTGTCCTACCCTAATTTATTCTATTCTGTTCTATTATATACAATTCTGTTCTATCCTGTTCTGTTCTATTCTAACATACCTATGCTAATCTATTCTATCCTCTTCTGTTCTGTTTTATGCTATTCTATTCTATTCTATTCTTACCTGTTCCATTCTGATTTATTTTTATGCTATTCTTTTCTATCCAATCCTATCCTGTGCCATTCTATCCTGTTCCATTCTGTTTTGTTCTATTCTATCCTATTCTGTTCTGTCCTACCCTAATTTATTATATTCTGTTCTATTCTATACAATTCTGTTCTATCCTGTTCTGTTCTATTCTAACATACCTATGCTAATCTATTCTATCCTCTTCTGTTCTGTTTTATGCTATTCTATTCTATTCCATTCTTACCTGTTCAATTCTGATTTATTTTGTTCTATTCTATCCTATCCTATTCTGTTCTGTTCTATTTTATTCTGTTCTATTGTGCATGCAGGAGATCCAGTCTCTGCTCATAAACTGGAAGGGTCCGGATCTGACCACATACGGTGAGCTGGTTCTGGAAGGAACGTTTCACGTCCACCGCGCTAAAAACGAGAGAACCCTCTTCCTGTTCGATAAGATGCTGCTCATCACCAAGAAACGAGGGGAACATTACGTCTACAAGACTCACATCTCGGTATAGGATGTTATTCATTCTGAGACAGCATCTGTTATTTAGACCAGGGACTCCTAAACCTTTTTATGAGCCAAAACACTTTGACATAAAATATTCTCTTGAAGTCTCCCTGAGATTTAAAGTTAACATTTCAATGATGCAACAACACGTTCACATTCACAGTTCACGGCTGGTTAATGCTCACATGACATGCAGGAAAACAAAATATTTTATTATTTTATTAAGTGTGTTTTTTTAATTTGTTTATTTTAAATTTATTTATTTGTTTCTATTTTACATTTTTATTATTTTATTCATTTTTAGTAAAAAAAAATGTTTTAAATTATTTATTAATTTCCTTTTTTACATTTTTTATTGTTTTATTCATGTTTTATCAATAAAAGTATTCAATAAAAAGTATTAAACTTTTTTATTTTAAAAGTCATATTTTATTTCATTTTACATTTATATTACATTATTATTTTTATTTATGATGAATGATTAGCTTTTCATCAATTCATGTACCCCCTGAGTTTCCTTAACAAACCCCAGTTTGAGAGCCTGATTTAGACCATTATCTCCTTTCATTCTCAGATATTGTCAGATATATCCTCATCTGGACAAAAGCTTTTCCTACTATTATCGTTTTTTTGTTTTTTTTGTAAAAATAATATCTGATTGAGCTTTATACAGAGCCATTCTACCATCTAGTAAGTTAAACAACAGAAGATTTGAATTCAGAAAAACATGTTGTTTGTGCTGTTTTCTTGTGTTCAGTGTTCCACACTGATGCTGATAGAAAGTGCCAAAGATTCTCTGCGCTTCAGCGTGACGCATTACAAGCACCCCAAGCAGCCGCACACGGTTCAGGTAAGTTTGAGATCACGGCCCACAAATCACCCGTTCAAGCTGTTCATTGTGTTTGCTTTAATCATATGTCATTGTGTTTCTCAGGCCAGAACGGTGGAAGAGAAGAAACTGTGGGCTCATCACATAAAGAGACTCATTCTGGAGAACCATCACGCCATTATCCCGCAGAAAGTACGTACAGTAACCGGTCCACAAATGTCTGTCTGAATCAGTGATACTGTAATAAACATGATCTGTTATTTAGACCAGGGATTCCTAAACGTTTTCATCCGCCAAACCCCTTTTAACTTATTTAAACTTAATATTTCAGTGATTTAATGACACATTCACAGTTCTGTGATAGTTGTTAATACTCAAATGGCATGCAATGAAACAATTAAAATACTTTTTTATTAAGTGTTTTGTTTTTATTTAAAAATGTTATTTATTTTCATTTGTCATTTGTTTCATTTTGATTGTTTTTTATTATTTATTTAAATTTTACATTTGTATTTCATTCTAGTTGTTTATTTTGATTGTAAAATGGAAATAGCTTTAAAATAAAAACATTTTTACCATTTTATTCATTTGAGTAACTGTTTAATTTAGTTGTTTTTTTTTGTTGAAAATTATTTATTTTCATTTGACTTATTTTATTCATTTTTGTCATTGTTATCATTGTTTTATCATTTTTATTTTGGTTGTTTTTATTTTAAAATTGTTTATTTTCATTTTATATTTCTATTGTTTTCATTTTTAGTGTTTTATTTTGATTGTGAAATGAAAGTATTTTTAAAATATAGACATTTTATTAATTTTTAGTAAGCGTTTAATTTATATTGTTTTTATTTTAAAAAAATTTTTCATTTTACATATTTTATTATTTAATTCTTTTTTTAATAATAATTTTATTTGTTTTTATTTTTAAATTATTTATTTACATTTTACATTTCTATTGTTTTCATTTTTAGTGTTTTATTTTGATTGTAAAATAAACATGAAATTAAAAATACATTTTTACTTTTTAACATTTTTTAAATATTTTTTATTATTTTTAGTGTTTTTTTTATGATTTTTTTCCCCATTTTCCATTTTTATTATTTTATTCATTTTTAGTGTTTTGTTTTTGTTTTAAAATATTCATTCTCAATTAACATTTTTATTATTCATTTTTTCATTATTTTATTTATTCATTTAATTCATTTTTATTAATTTCATGTATTATTTTTATACTGCAGAAAATACGGTCTACTTTAAAACATGAATGTTTCTCTCAATCAGCAATTTTGTAATAAACATTTGCCATGTTAATTGCTTTCAGGCCAAAGACGCAATCCTGGACATGGACTCGACATGTAAGTTGTGTTTAGATTGATTTTCAAACAAGGTGCTTCAGTGAATGACTTGTTTTTGTAGCAAAATGACTTTTGAAACACTAGAACTCTGTTTCAGAACCTGCTGTTCTATTGTTTCTTCTCTGTCCAGGTCCAGTGAAGTACCGCTACAGTCCGGACAGACTGAAGAAAGCGGCGTCCTGTCAAAATGAAGATTTCTCCGGTGTGTTAAAGGAACGGAGACGCTCTGGTGTGTGAAGCGGCCTCTTCACTCGTAGAAATGAAAGCTCAAACTAAATTTCCACTGTATAATTGTTTATGTTCTTTGACAGAACCGGCTAAACGAACTGTACGAAGCACTAAAGGTAACGTCTTTATCTTGTTGCTTTCTAGTTTATTCAGTGGGACACAAAAGTCTGAGACCGGATCACATTTAAACTTGGAAACATGCAGAAAGTTATAATGTTTTCGAAACATTTAAAACACAAAATTCTGACAAAATTAAGCTGAAATATATAATATAATGCGCTATTTCTCAACAGCTAGTAAATGAGTGTCACTGATCTTGTGATTCTGTATTCAGACAGTCAGATTTTCTTGCTTTCATTGAATTTTAAGATGCTCAAATCATGCTGGAGAACATGTTCATCAGGATTTGTTCATGTTCATGCTGCTGTCATTAAAGCAAAATGGATGCACAAAACAAAAATGCATTTCAGTTTTATCATGATAATGAAGTTTCTGACCTGCTGTATTAGCAAATATATTAATTTAGCAAAATAATTTAATCAATTTTAATTTTTTAAAATAATTGTAATAATATTTGTATTAACTTTAACACATTAAAACACAACAATCAATATAAAATAAATAATAAAATAATATTCTAATTATTGTACTGATGATTATTATAACAATTTTATACATAAATTATATATGAAGTTTTCTACACACACACACACACACATATATATATATATATCTTCTTGCTGTATTAGCAAATATGTGCATTTTTAAAAAGAAATTTAAATATTCATTTAAATAATATTTTATGAATATATATATAGTTTTTATAAAAATGCATATACGTATATTGCAAAATGCATATTTATATATATGCATATGCATTTTGCAATATACGTACAGTATATGCATTTCATAAAATAAATGCAGAACAAAATAAATGCAAAAAATGTATAGGATTTGGTCTTTATTCTCTTTATGTAGTCTTGATTGACTGACTGATTAAAGAAGCACTGTTAAACTAAAGATCAGAGATACCCCTGATCAAATCGCTGTCATCTTGGGCTCACGGCAGGTGCGTGCTGTTTGTTTCCGCTCATGTGGGAGACACGTGTCCCGTATGTTCTGCGCTCCCTCAGCCCGCTTTAGCATCAAAGCCACATCGACTCGACGCGTCCCTCCTGTGTCAGATCAAAGGCCGCAGCCCCGATCCTCCGCCCGCACACATGGTGCTAATTATGGAGCCCATCGGCCGCAGGCTTTGTCATGCGCCAGTTCCTTTCAGTCCACAAACCTGTTTTTGGCTCGCTGTCAGCACAAGTGCATTATGCATTCTGATTGGCAGAAAATTAAGAGAAAAGCCAAGCCGTTCCATCTATTCTCTCTTTCTCTCTCACACACTCTGTCTTGCCGTTTTATCACCTTTCAAATTAAGTTTCCAACCACGGCTTTTCCTGTTCCTGTCTTGGAAATCAGCAGGGAGTGTCCAAGCTCTCTCAAGTAGCTCCATGCATCCTTATAGCATGCATTTCATTGCCAGTTGATTTAATTATCTTTGCATGGACCTGGCAGAGCACACACATTTATAATACCGTGTTATGTGTTAATTTTTTTTGTAATAATATTTGTATTAACTTTAACACATTAAAACACAACAATCAATATAAAATAAATAATAAAATAATATTCTAATTATTGTACTGATGATTATTATAACAATTTTATACATAAATTATATATGAAGTTTTCTACACACACACACACACACATATATATATATATATATCTTCTTGCTGTATTAGCAAATATGTGCATTTTTAAAAAGAAATTTAAATATTCATTTAAATAATATTTTATGAACTTCAACAAATGAAAACAGCAACAATAAATAATAAAATAAAATATAATGATAATAATGATGCAATAATTATATACATAAATTTTATATATACTTTTCCTGTTCCTGTCTTGGAAATCAGCAGGGAGTGTCCAAGCTCTCTCAAGTAGCTCCATGCATCCTTATAGCATGCATTTCATTGCCAGTTGATTTAATTATCTTTGCATGGACCTGGCAGAGCACACACATTTATAATACCGTGTTATGTGCAACCAGAATATAAAAATGCATCATGTCTGCAAAATGAAATCCAAGTTTCGTTCTAATTTTGGGGTGCTGATTTTAAAAAGTGCTGTTTTGTTGTAGCATGTCAGACTTATTCACAAAATATGGTGCTTTTTGTTGCATTTTTGCTTTTGACAACCACTTTTGCAGTGAAGAAGTCTTGTATTAATCTTTAATCAACAGAAAAACACCACAAACACATGATTCCTATATTTATCTGAGCCAGATTACAATGATTTAATCAAGTCTCAGCCCGTTTTCACATTATTTTATGCCTAATCATGATTTTTTTTTTGCACATTGCAAATTAAATAATATATTTCGAATACTACTTTTTGACTGCTTTTGTTATTTTGATAAGTGCATTAAAGCTGATATATTTATTAGACTAATCTGCCTTCAGATCATTTTGAACTCTGCATCGTCAAATTACCAAACACCAGGACTTAAAAATCACATTTGAAATGCATCTGAAGATAACCTGTTGCTAAATTGTTATATTAATAACATTTAATTTATCTTTGTCTTTGCATCATCTTAATCATCCATGGACGTCACACAGGCACGCTTAAGGTAAGATTTCCACATTCACTCTCCATTGCAAGCTTTTCACATTAAGTAAAGTAAAAGAAACGGCTTAAACTTACATTAACATTTATGCATTTAGCAGACGCTTTTATCCAAAAAGAGGAACAAAAGCAATTAGTCAAATGCATTTAAAGTACACTGAATCACATTCATAAGAAAAAATGTTGTGCATTTATTTCATAAATGCTATTCCAAACTAAATGCATGCAAAATCTTTATTGTCTATCCTCATGTGGTAGAAAACTGTCTTTAGACAAAGGCTCAACAAACAATGCAAAACAACAATTCAGCAACAATTATAAACAAAAATGTTGCATAGAACCAACACAACTCTTGAAAACCTATAGAATTAATCTAAAATTTAAAATGCTAGAAAAGGTGCCAGTTTTGTTATATAAATTCGCTTTTTCATAAACGCCCATTGACATCCCATGACTTTTCTATGGCGTTCAGCATGCAGACAGCGAAGGTACTCTATTAGTGGATAAAGACCATCTTTCCATACTGCCCACAACCGTGAGCTCAAACCCAGAACTCAAGACTGCGGTACCTGGAATGATTCAGAACGGACAAGATCATGAATCCAGCACAGGCTCGCTGGATGACAGTAGGCTTGAAGAGAAAGCAAGGAGAGCAGAGGACAGAATAGGAGGAGATAATGGAGAAGAGGAAGATCTGATGGGAGTCGAGCAGGTAGCAGACTTTGCCAGTTCAGTGTTGGCCGCCATCTCCTGCTGGCATCATAGGGCTAAGGCTTTGCTTTTCGATCAGATCACCACGGTGAGGGTCACCTATCGCTTTCTGTTTCACGTCCATAACCTGGTGGCCGCCTCAGTGCAATCTGTCAATCACATCCCATCTGCTGCATGCTGAGACCGATTTCTGCTTTTGCACCCACAGATCTGATGCTCGAATGCTGTTGATGTGAAGTTGCATGAATCATTGCATGGACATAACTGCATGCATGGCCACTAATCACACATAAACACATTTCTCAATGGACACTTGACCTACAAATTGAATGCCATGTTCAATATCTGATTTTCAAAACATTTATCACTGATTCTCTGGGAGTTCGGACAAAACAGGCAATAGGTCTGATGGCATTTTTCTACCTAAATGCATGTTTCTGCATCACTCAATTTGTCAATTCTGTCTGATACAGAAATTAATGTGTCAGATGATTATTTTTATATTGTCAAATCTTCCATTAAACTTCAAAGAATATGTAATCACAGGTACCTAAAATTATCAAAATAAACTCACCATAAACTCACATCAGGTGAACCACAGGGTTTTATGGGTTCAACGTGGAAAGGTTATTTTCTAACCTAATGGCTGATGTTGTTTCTCCCATGTCTCAAGAATCAGTGTTATATTTCATGCCAGATGCGTCAATGTGCAAAGATTGTAATGCACATATGATGGGGAATTTACAGCATGTTGTGGTAACTAAGATTACTAAGATCCAATGCATAATAACGTTGGGTGTCTCAAAGTGTTTTTGCACTTGGAGCCACAGTGAGATTTTTTTGATTGAAGCTCGACTTCAAAGGGAAATTTAACTGTCAAATTTTAGGGGTGGAGGTCGAATGGCTTGTCTTCCGTAATTAAATTAAACAAAGGTTCCGGTTTCATTGTGTTTTGTTTGATGGCACACAAAAGCAATTTCAGAAGGTCAGTTGTCTGTGGAAAAGCATTGAAATGCATTGATGCTTTCAAATGAATTGCAGATGTTTATGAAAGGTTGAAATATCACTAGAGTGATATTTGACAGATGGCGACTATGAATGCTGTCATTCAGTAGAACATTTACATCTGTTAAATTCCTGTAATTTTCTGTGTTGTGTCCTTAGGACAGAGAAGGTTGTTGGGAAAATTGGCCAATAAACAAAAGCAGCCAAATACCCACTAAAGAAAAGCCTGATGATACGAGTAAAAGTTTGACTCTCTTTGAACAGGTAACGTCATATATTGAGAACCTCAAAATGGATCTTTCTGTCTAGTAAACCTACAGTAGACAGAAAGTGCTGATAATATTCAAACTATACGCTGCTTTCATTGTCAATGACTAATGTTTGAATTAAAATGAGCATTTGAATGTCTATGAGGCCCAAAAAAGCTGTCTGGGTAGACATTGTGTAAAGCCACTATTGTACATTCATATTGAAATATCTTTCCTTTCTAATCTCTTCTAATTGCTATAATATGTTGTGTATGACTGATGTTGGGTTCAAAAAATACAAGGCAGATATACTCTTGTCAAATGGCTAAACCTTCACCTTTATGCATATTGTTGCCACACATACACATGTTGTCTTAGTTAGTGAGTCTATGGTTGCTTCTGGAAATACTGTGGGAATTGTTTTCTCAGCATTCACTATTGATAATTGGCTAATGATAAAAAAGGCGAGGGGGGGGGGGGGTTACAAGGATTTGTTGGAAATATAAATTGCAGCTGTATTTCAAAGCTAGATAAATTGCACTTGTTTCATGCTGGTCATAATGGAGATATTGGAGATTGAATTAAGTTATCTTCACATCCTCTTTTCTTATCCTCTTCATAGCATCCTGTAGCAATAACTCACTTCATTCTGTCCACTTTCTAGAGCTCAACTGGGGAACGCAGTTCACAGAAGGTCTTTTCTTCTCTCAGAGAGTCAGAGGAGACAGGGGTGAACCAATCAGATAATTATCCCAAAATGTGTGGGACAATAATGGCAGGATGCCACACTGATCCAGAGATAGTAGACTTCAATAATGGAGGACGAGAAATCGGAGATAATGTTGAGGACAGTGTGGATTTCTCATCTCCTGCTGGACTAGAAGAGCACCAAAAGGAAGGGACTTCATCCAGCAGGAACCTCTCAGAAGATGTGCAGAACATGGAGGTAGATGTGGACGTTGAAGCACCTGGTGGCCTCTTGTCTTCATCCATACTGGACAAGGTAAGCGATATCTCAGAGCGATGTGCCAGCAGCCTCTCTCGAAGAAGTAGTCTAGGAGTCGAAGCGTCTTTTGACTTGGGCTGCCCGTCTTCTCTGTCGGAAAGTAGAAGAAGCAGTTTGCTCAGCAGTGGTGCTGAGCCCCACAAGAAAGACAAAGGCCTAGAGTTTAGACGGTCCACTCCAGAACCATTAACAGAGACCGTTCCCGACAGCCTGTCTATACCAGACCAAAGATCTCAAATGAAACAGGATACTCTTTCCAAAAAGGACCGATTGCTCATACATAAGATTCGACGGTACTACGAACATGCTGAGCACCAGGATGCCAGCTTTGCCGTCAAACGCAGAGAGAGCCTTTCATACATCCCTGCAGGCCTAGTCCGTAATCTGAGCCAACAACTTGATGACCTTGCAGACCAGGATTTGGCATTGCATAAGAGGGCGTCTTCCATCACAAGGCCAACTTTATGGTCTGTCTTTAATATATCAGGCTTGGGGGTTGACAAGAAAGCAAAGGATAGCTCTGATTTTGTGGTCCCTGCAAATGACAAAGAGTCCAAGCTTAGAGATCAAAGTGGGAATGAGGAATTCCAGCCTGCATCTGACATGGTTAAAGTGTGGCAAGTCATGGAAATGGAGATAACTGGGACTTCTGAACAACATCAGGACTCAGAGAATTCCCAAATGACTACACCTGGTGAAGAAAAGAAAGCAGAAACCAGTAAGGTGAGCTTGGATAGTGGACTTGGGGAACCTCTGGTAATATTGGAAGAATCCGATGAAAGCTCTACCTCACCCCCAATTAACAACGTCTTAGAAAAGGACAAGATGCAAGAGTTCCAGAGGCATCCAAACGAGGAACACAAGTTACAAGAGCAGCACAAGGTCAACCACCGTCCTCTACCAAAGATCATCTCCTTAAGGTCAGCCAGTGAGGATGAACTCATCCTTCAAGATATGGAGAAAAGGAAAAATAAGGTGTTCCAGTTGGCCAGGCACTACAGTCAGCGTATCAAAAACAACAAACCGGTAGTAAGGCAGAGGCCCAAGATCTTGGAGAACCATTTCGTGCCCAAGAACCTGTCTTCGGTCATGGAGGAGAGACCTCCAGGAAAAGAGAAAGGTGGGTGTAGTGTCTGAGTAGACACTTGCTAAGTTTAAGTGGTGTTCCTTCTGTCAATTTTTGTTTTGCAGACACTTTCTTATCCAAACTGACTGTTCACTTTTAGTTGAGGGACAATCTCCCAACTTGCAGTGTCTTGTCTGATGGCGTAGCTCAGTAGTTCCCAACCCTGGTCCTGGAGAACCCCCAACACTGCACGTTTTTCATGTCTCTTTTATCTGAGACATACATTTGAGGTCTTGGAGTCTTATTAGCTGATGAGTTGAATCAGGTGTGTTTGATTAGGGAGACGTCTAAAATGTGCAGTGTTGGGAGTCCTTCAGGACCAGGATTGGGAACCACTGGCTTTTTGGTTACCAATCTAGACCATTGGTATCCCACTTATTTGCTTAAAGGCGTGACACTAGAAATGGATCTTGTACATTCCTATCCATCAAATGCTCCATCGGAGCCATTTTTAGGTTGTGGATAGAGGTGGGAGATTGAAATCAAGCGGGAATACAATGAATTCCCAATGCACATGTACATTTGCCTGTGTGATGTTCTCATTGGTTAATGGATTGCTATATCAGAGTGTGTTGCAGTTAAAGTTGTGGTTGTATGATCATCATTTAGACAAACCCTTGGGTAATTCCTCTACCCCTGATGGTGTCCAAACATGTTCCTGGAGGGACACTATCCTACAGAGTTTAGCTCCAACCCTACTTAAATGAAAGAATTAATAAATGAAGTGCCGGGAAGTAACCCAAGGGTAACCCATACTCGGAATTTGTTCTTTGCATTTAAATCATCCAAGTTATTAGGAGCAGTGAGTAGTGAACACACACATACACACCTTGAACACACACCCGAAGCAGTGGGCAGCTATTTTTGCTGTGGCGCCCGGGGAGCAATTGGGGGTTTGGTGCCTTGTTCAAGGGCACCTCAGTCATGGGTATTTAAGGGGGAAGAGAGAGCTGTTGATTCACTCCCCCAACCTACATTTCCTGCCGGTCTTGAGAATCGAACCTCGAAATCGAGCCTGTATTGAGAATCAAACCTGCAACCTTCGGTTTACAAGTCAGACTCACTAATCATTAGGACACAACTGCCACCCACACCTGAACCTGAATCAAGGTCTTCGTACTCACTAGAAAGTTCCAGGTAAGTGTGTTTAAGCTAGTTGGAGCGAAACTCTACTGACCCTCCAGGACCAGGATTGGACACCCTTGCTCTACATCCTTGCATCCCACCATCCCCTTTAGAAATCAGTGGATTTGCAGTGTTCTCTGGTAAATTCTATTGTAAAAGTACTTTTATTTGTCAAAAGCAGACTTTTAACCACAGCTCTTTTGTGCACAGGCATTCCTGACAAGCCACTGTTGCTGAACTTGAATGAGCAGGACCTTATCCCGGACTCTACGACTACTAGTCCACCTTCCAGCCTCTGTTCTCCTGGAAGTCCTCAGTTCCTCAATTGCAGATTATACGCTCAGAGACCACAAAGTCCTGTACAAACTGAGACCTTCCACTGGCCGGATGTCAAAGAGTTGCGTTCCAAATATAACAGCCAAAGGCAAGATGATGCATCCACTTCCCCTCGTCCGTTCCCAGTGAGTCGCAGTACTTCATTTTCAGAAAGAGCTTTGGAGACTGAATCGGAGAGATCCGGAGCATCGTGTTCATTGTCTTGTTCATCCCCTTTCTGCAATATCACAGTGCAGAGAACTACATCCATAGATTCTACATGTTCCAGCAAGACCATTGAAGGTGAAGGTTTGCCTTCGCTGTGTAGAGTTAATGCATTTGATTTCGGCTTGGGATCCACTAATGCACATGAGCAACTGGAGAGAGGTTGCGACGCTGGTCAAGATGAGAACAACCTCATTGTAGTAGAGAGGATCTGCAAGGCCAAGCATGAAGAGGATGATTTAGCAATGGTTTCACAATCTGAATTTGCAATGGCAAACAGTAAAGAGCACAACTTTAGTGAATGGATGGAAAAAGCCGAGAACAGTCAACATAGTTTGGTTAAAAACCTGCGGGATAAATTTCAGAACCTGAGTTCTTATACGTGAGACTTATAACGCAAACTTTTTTACTCTTAACACTCAGAACCTTAAAATATCTTACAGCTAGCATTCCTCTCTCCAAAATATGTCATTTGGCCATCTGTTTGAGAGGCTTAGTAAGTCTTACACAGGTTTGGTGTTCTGTGTTTTTGGAAAGAAAGCATGACTCTTCAATTCCAGTTATGAATTATCAGCAGATGTCGTACAAACCAACTGGAAAAGGGATGCCTATGGACCTCAGAGAATATATTTATGAAATTTGCATTTGTAAATATATGTATATTAGAGTTTTCCTGTGTATATTTCATTGAGATGTAAACATTTGTTAAAGGAGCTGACTGTGGTACTGTAAGTTTTTTGGTAATGTTTAGAAAAGTGGTTAAATACGTATTTTTCTTCCAGACATTTTGAAAAAAAAAAAACAATAAGGAAGAATATATAACAGGTCAGTGCATACTAAGTTACCAATGTGCCTATTTTTGTTAGAAATTTATTAGTACACACATATTTTCACATGTTTCCGGAAAAGCACTGCAATATTAAATGCAATGTTAGTTATTTTGATAGGCATTGCCTGATGTCTCTTCACTGTTTGTGTTCAAGCTCTGACCAGAGGAAAGAGGGTAATCTCATAAAGACGTCATTCCCCACTAATGAGGAGAAAACTGGAAATCATAATCAGATTAGGCTAATGAATGATAAACCGTGACAAAGACTGGTGTCATTTTTAATCTGGAATGTTTTCGGTTGGGTGTGTACAGTTTAAAATTGTCAAATAGTGCTCAGTTTGACTGAATGTTTGGTGTCAAATTAAAATGCTGCTCTTTTTTGACAACGTATTGTGCTGTCTTAATGTTGCTGATTTTTAATTGTTAAAGGTCAGATGTGATTCCAACTCATCTGAGAATTTGCTTTTTGAGCATTATGAGATAATTCAAGTTAAGGGATACGTCATTTGAGCAACATATAATGCACAGTCACGAAATGTGTTTTGGGTCACGTTTAATGGGATATATTATAAGCCATCTTATTTTTGGTTGTATTTTTCTGCTCATTGGTGGGGTTTATCTCCGGGCATGATGTCACTGTTATCTTGTATATTTAAACTTTTTTTATTTATTTGATTTGGTGTAAATATGATGCACAATACCTGTGTAAAAATGTCCAGTTCATATCCTATTTTTCTGATATACTACATTAAAAGAAACTTTCCATACTTTAAACATGATTTCCTTTGTCCTGCTTGCAGTGCTTCTGGCTTTGGTTTTTGTTTCTCTTTTTCTTTTCAGAAACCTTTATCAAAATGATTGCGCATGACTTGGGGGCGTATTACAGTTTAATTCGTTTCTGCACTTTTTAATCAGTCTTCAGGACATGGATATGATTAATGACTTGCATGGAAGGAGCTGAAAAGCAGCCTTAATATCGTCCTGAATTGCAGATCACCTTTTGAATGGATATATGGAGGCGTATACCTTTTTTTAAAGCAAGTAATGATTTAGCAGATGCTTTTATATACTTCCAGGCATTTATTACATTGACAATCCTCCTGGATCAACACACTAGTGGTTAACATTTTGGAATAATTACCTTTTTTGTTTTTGAAGTCAATTCTGCTCACCAAGGCTGCATTAATTTGATTAAAATTGTGAAATATTATTGCAATTTCAAATAACTGTCTTCTATATGAATATACCTTAAAATGTAAGTTATTTCTGTGATCAAAGCTGAATTTTCAGCATCGTTACTGTCACATGATCCTAAGAGATACAGTACTAGAATAGATTTGATAGAAACTACAATATGCATTCATTATACCTTTGCATATTTTCATAAATAATCGTGAAATTGTATAATTCATTATTAAGCATTTATTATTCAATATTTATAGGAATACATTTTTGCACAACCATCATAGAAAGTGTTGAGTTATTTGACATTAAGCAATTAGTTGAAAATATCTATATGATTTTTCATTAATACTGTAGGCCTAGTTAAAGACTAAAAAGAGTCTACAAAGGATCGTTTACATGTTGTTGTTGTTGATTGATGATGATGATGAAGATGAACTCCTCCCCTCCTGTTGAGCAGGTCTCAGGTTCTCAGTCTCTCGCTGAAGGTCTGACTGTACAGTCATGGAGAAGCAGAGCGACTAACCCGACCAGCTGACAGACAGACAGCTAACCAGCAGCGGTTTATCTGAGAGCTGAGGGAGTTGTGCTGGCGTCAGGATGGGCTGCGCGATCTCTGGATCCGGATTGACACCGAGAACAGCAGAGAGCAGACACACCGAGGACGAAGCTCCAGCGAGACTCACTCCGGATCACATCCAGCTCATCAGAGAGTCCTGGAAAGTCATCCAGGAGGACATCGCCAAAGTGGGAATAATCATGTTTGTCCGGTGTGAATTTTCTTGTGAATTATTGCATTTTACTCAACTCCGGTTTATTTGTAGAGCGCCTTTCGTAATACAATCATTTAAAACAGCTTTCCAGAAAATGCATGTTTCAGCTTATGTATTAAAGTGAGAACAAATTGTGTTGAATGTTTATAAGTGGTAGTGATATTTGATACCTGTTGATGTTTTGCATCAGATCAGCTCATTGACTAATATTTAACAATGTCTCGTCCAAACCGAACTAGAGTAGTACAGACCGGGCTTGTCACGCTTTTTACTTCATAGGCTTAGCTATATATATATTTTTTTTTTTTTTTTTTTTTTTTTTTTTTTTTTTTTTTTTTTAAAAAAAAAAAAAAAAAAAAAACTCTAGCTTTCTATTCTACTTGTTTTTCTTTGTTTGTGTATATATATATATATATATATATATATACACACACACACCTTGCTACGTGTACTGCGTTAGGCTAACCGAGACTTGTCATTTGCACTTATATATTGTTGCTCATT